TCCGTGGTCATGTGGCCGGCATGACTAAACACCAAAGGTGCACGGAACGGTATTACCTTCCCACCAAAGGTGGTCCCTATTTTTCTATTTGCATTTTTTACGTGCTTTCAAACTGCTAGGTCGGCAGAAGCTAGGACAAGTAACGGGAGCTCACCCTGTTACGCGGCACTAGGGATTCGAACCGCTGAACTGCCGACCTTTCGATCGACAAGCTCAGCATCTTAGCCACTGAGCCATTGCATCCCTCTCATATGAAGGATAGGACCTGCCTATCTGAAGAACTACCTATCTCCAGTTGCGTCTGCTTAACTGGTATGGTTGAGCACAGGAGGCATATTCTGCAGTCTATTATTTAAAGAGTATCATCTTGTAGGACCCAGGAAGCCCACATACTCTGTTTCAACTCCTCTGGAATGAAGAGATTTGTGAGTCTCCCACCTTAGGTCCTCCAGGAAAATGCTGAAGACCTCAATGTTCTCCCAAGCCTTGTGGGCAGGGTGAAATTGTGGAGCCCCCTTTTTGTCCTTTTTCCTGTTCGTTTTGCTTTGCTTAGTTTTGAATTCTTCTGGTCAATTTTATTTTTTTAATATATATTTTACATCTAAATTTGTTCTTAGGTGGAAATCCTCCAGAGCATGTGGAAGTCAGATTGCTTATAAATTAAATAAAGAGCACAATTTACTGAGTATATAATTTCTGAACCAGATTAATTATCCATTGCTTACTGAATTTTGGAAGTAGATATAACATTTTTTTTTAGTTCAAATTTGGCACCTCTTTTAGCTGATAATTATTTCAGGTTGCCTGAAGATGATATAACTGATGCATAACTTTGATATCAATAGAAGTGAATATTTGTCATTCAGGGTTGAACTGTGGGGTTCTTGGTTTCCTCTGAACTTGGCTGCTTTCTTGCAAATACTTCATTATCCCACTAGGTAGTATCTCAGTACTAACAAGGAAATATTCGCAAGAAAACAAGCTCAGACAGCATCAAAGACCCCACATAACTGTGAGTTAGAAAGAATAAGCAATGGCAAACTTTTTGATTGCTGCTGTTCAGACTGCAGATATCTTTCTTTTTGTAGAAACAAGATTAATTTAATTTAATTTAAACACTTTTGATTTAAATAACTTTCCCTTAACTTCTATTTGGACTTATCCTTTCGTATAAAATTAATATGAGAACTCCTGGGTCACTGCATTGTAATGTGATGCTTATACAAGCAGAAACCATAGCACAGGCTACTCTCATTTGACATAGATATTTCTTAGCATGAACTCTGCCCATGTGATTAATAATTTCCTGTATCATCCCCATATTTTCACCCTATACAGCTGAATAAAAACACAAATAAAATTGTGCGGTAAATTGTAGAAACCTAAAATAAAATTTACAATGAACTCAGATTTTTGCGAGTCCACTTTTACTGTTATAGTTAAGTAGGGCCTCAACTACTTCAGCAAGATTTTTGCATTAATAAGAATCTTGCCTTAAGATAATAATATAAATATAAATCCATTGCTGTTATGGAAAACCAGTCTCAATACGTATAACTTTTATGCTGCCAATATTTGTGTGTGTGTGTATGTGTGTGTAGAGAGAGGGAGGGAGGGAGGGGAAAGGAGGGAGGAAGGGAGAGGGAGAGGGAGAGGGAAGGAAGGGGGAGACAGAGAGAGACAGAGAGAGAGAGGGAGGGAGGAAGGGAGGGAGGAAGTCAAGATGATCTACCTGTTGTGCAATACCTTATTTATTATAAAGATAATTCAAAAAGAGAAGAGCATTTGCCATTATATTGCTACTTCTCTGGAATCCACTTCTGTTCCTGTTTAATAATTATTGTAGTTATTGTGGTAAAACCAAAATATAGAAATGTTAACAAATTATTTTTAATGCCAAAATACATGGACATTTTAATTTCATTTTCCCTATTTGTCCAATTTTAAAGGATGACATGAAAACATGTCTGTCTAAATATGTCTAGTTACTTGAAAAATGTTCATTGCACAAAATGGCTGTCATAATAAACTAAAGAACAACTTAGAGAAATACCAAAATGAAGTATGGATAGGATATAGATGCATTAAAATTTATGGAGACTGGTCTGCTCATGATATATTGAACTGAGGAATAGGATGGAGCAAGTACCATGTTGCTGTCCAATTTACCATATTTATCCTAGAAGGAAAACAGTGGGTATTCTGTTTGACTTTAAAAGAGATGACACTTTTGGGAATCAAGTAAGAACTTATGTCTGTTCTTCTTTGTGTGAACTTAGGAAGCAACATTGCAAGGCCCAAAGGGCAGCTTAAAAACATAGAAATATTGGTGAGCTTTGGCTTCCTGAGTATTTGATGGGACACGGCTGATTTTATCTCCTGGAAGGAAGAGCAGAATAGAAATAAATTTGCCACTTAAGAGCATAGTGCTTGAAACTTATGTTTAGATATGCATGGAATTCACTGCTTGAAATGGTTATCAGTCAATATTTTCAGTAGGTTGTGACACAAAATAAGAAGAATATTGAGTTTCAGAGTTCAAAACATCATAAATTTTAGCAAGTGGTCGTTCAGGGAAATCGTAAGAAGCTTAAGCAGAAGTGGAAATATGTAGGAGAGGATTAAAGTGAAGCAAAGGCAGGAATAGAACATTTTCTAATCACACTGTAGAGGCAGTGATAAGCAAGTTTGGAGACAGACATTTTCTTAATAATAAAGGCATCATTAAAGTTCTCTTTAGCCTGAAATGTAGGTCATATTAAACATTTAATAATGCTTAAATACAAGTGTTCCATATATTTAAATCTTCTCCAAACTCTTTGAAGTCAAGTTATATTTCACTCCTGAGATACAGAAGTAATTATTTTATTACACAACTGTTTAAAAATAAATTTCACAACCCATATTTAGAAAGCTTATAAAATTATGACCCACTTGTTTCTCAAGAGTTATAATTTTGTCTTTCTGATAGGATGCTACTTGTCTAGAAAGCTAGAAACTGGGCCATCTTCTAATAAAAAATCTGCAACTTACTAGACACATACAGCACAGACAAAAAGATCATGACAGAAATGAAAAATTAAATGAAAAATTAAAAAGACAAATTAATAAAATATTGACATTTCTTAATGGCCTTTAAATATGTAAGAATGCAGTAGTATGACTAATCATTGACAACCACACTGCAAAGTACAGATTATTTGCTAGTGAACTGTGGTGGTATAATGGTTAGAATGCAGTATTGCAAGCTAGCTCTGTCCACAGTCTGGAGTTCGATCTTGACTGGCTCAAGATTACCTCAGCCTTCCATCCTTCTGAGGTCAGTAAAATGAGGACCCAGCTTGTTGGGGGCAATAGGCTGACATTTGTAAACTGCTCAGAGAGTGCTGCAAAGCACTCTGGAACAGTATATAGGTCTAATCCATGAAAAAACATGTCTTTTTGTAGAACATCTAGGATAAACTGAATATTGATAATCCAAATCTATGTACAAAATGGCAAAAATGGTTGTTGAATGAAAATGACCTGTGAAGAAAAGCAAGTTCCCTGGCCCAATTTAGGTTTAGATGTGACAGGGTATGACTGTTCATGAGTGTGTGATAGATTACAACGAATAATAATTACACAATTGATACTAAACATATCTACCTTTATTCAGAATATTCTAGAAAGTCATCAAGCATTATTAATAAAAACAATTTGAAATTCAATCTTAAATTCCATGAGATGACTCTAAGGATAAGGAAATGAGATAAGATAATAATACGTAACTTCAAAGATATGTCTGTGTTTTGGGAAATGTTAAAAAAATTAATAGAGTGTTGGCAAGACATTTGGTGTTACTTGTGTAAACAGATCTCAATTTTTTCAGGACCATGACTCTAAAATGAGAGGTTAGGGTAAGAAATAAATATATCAGTCTCTATCATTAAAACTGAATATATCAAATAAAATATGATGGAAACTTACAGTTTTATGCATTAAAATTTTACTATTTTACTGGAAAATGGAAACCAGTTTACTTTTGCAGAATATCTGAAATATAGTTTTCTTGTAAATCTGTCTCTTTCACTCCGCAGATATTCTGGATTAATATTTTCACTTTACAGTGGTAACTGTAACTGTTGAAAATCCAATTTTCCTATTCGTTTGGCCAGGGTGACCAAAACATAAATGAAGCAGTACATGCTCATTAAGGAAACAAGGATGGCTTTCATGGACTGAATGATTTAGAGCAGTATAATGAATAGTATTTATATAAATTTGTTTTAGCTATACTTCTTTTTAAAAATCACACATTAATTGTAATCACTCTGAACAGAAATAGTAGAATATTAACAGGTATCTAAGGAAGAATTATGGGTTAAGTTAGAGAACCTTATGGTGTATAGGGCAAAGTCATCTATATTATTCAACTTAGTTCTAATAGCTAATTTATTTCTGTCTTTTGCAATTGATCGATGGTTATTTTGTCCAAATTGATGGTGTTCAAAGGATGTTCCAATTGTTTTGAGGTCATTGTTATTGGTACTACCTTCACTTTCTTTTGTCTTATTATTGTTATTTGCTGCTTTTAAAAATGAATAAAGTAATTTCAGGATTGCACATCAACTTGAAATATTTGTAGTGTAAGAGAACTGAAAGCAATAAACTGCAAATCAAAAAATGTCCTACTATCAGGTGGCATTACATAAGAAATGCTTATTCTCTATCTACAGCTTGAAGATATATTAACCTGTTTTCATAAGATAGTTGCATAAGGGTATTTTTGGAAAGCCTCCAATATTATGTAATGTAAATTTTATATTTTCATTTTCATCTTCATTATCATTTAATCTTTTCTTTAAAGAATATTTGATATTAGTCTCATGAAAAAAATTATTTGGAAAGAAATCATCTCTGCTTTCTAAATACTCTCATGCATTATGTTACTATAGCATATATTACTATCATAATACAGCAAGTATTATTATTACTCTTCAAACACAAAAAATACCTACAGGATTAAGAAGGATGGTAAGAAACAGTTCACCTCCTTGGATACTTTTGTCTAGTTCTTGAGGGCCACCAGGATATTCTTTGTAAAAAATTGTATGGGTGAAAAGTCCACATGTCTGTCGAGGGAGTACCTAAGATAAATCAACAACAACAAGCAAGCTTTTGGTTTGGATATCTACTTATACATGCATGCACTGGTGTATGATGCATTGGTATGTGATTCCCTCAGCTGTAACATTCTGATAGCTAAACCTCTATAGTTTTCAATCTAAACTATAGACTAAGATTAAATTTTTTCCTGTCAGAGGATACAGCACCTTGAAGGTCAGTTGAGGGCCGTGTCATAACATATGGTAATAATCATGCAATCAGACCTTCTTCCGCATTAAATAGGTGTCATCTTGAAACACCTTTAAGAACATTAAGTGCTGATTGGAATAATTCTTGCCTTAAACATAAATATAGCAATATATGATTTATAGAAGGTAAAGGTAAAGGTTCCCCTCGCACATATGTGCTAGTCGTTCCTGACTCTAGGGGGCAGTGCTCATCTCTGTTTCAAAGCCAAAGAGCCAGTGCTGTCCAAAGACGTCTCCATGGTCATGTGGCCGGCACGGCTAAATGCCAAAGGCGCACGGAACACAGTTACCTTCCCACCAAAGACGATCCCTATTCTTCTACTTGCATTTTTTACATGCTTTCGAACTGCTAGGTTGGCAGAAGCTGGGACAAGTAACGGGAGCTCACCCCGTTACACAGCACTAGGGACTTGAACTGCTGAACTACCAACCTTTTGATTGACAAGCTCAGCGTCTTAGCCGCTGAGCCACCGCATCCCTGATTTATAGAAACTGAATCATAATTAGGTTAACTGGCTAATTTTTTTTTAATCTTTACTTAAGTAAAAAGTTGACAAAGTTTAACCAGGTTCAATTTTAATGTTATTTTTAAAAAAATATAAGTATTTGTAAAACTACAGATGAGAAATATATCTAAACGTATGTACCCTTTTCGTCTTTTACAGAGGGAAAACATGCTTTAAACATGATGCCTACATGTACACATGCAGTACCAAGAAACACAACACAAAATGATTATAAATGTGAGAATCTAAAACAAAGGCTGTTGGACAGATGAGAGATCCATCTAGTCCAGAATTTGGATTATCACAGTAGCTTGCCTTTGGGCATAAGGATACCATCATGTTTTATTTCCAGTAATGCAGCCTACCCTAGATATTCCCTCACAATTCCAAGCAGTCTTTCTTTTCTCAGATACAGATGTTTTTCATTAAAAAAAAGTGAATTCAAAGTTTGTAAAGAACGCTGTTTTTATTTCCTCAATCTTGTCATTACTTGCATTTTCATACAGAATAGGTAACAGAGAGGGCAGGGATAATAAGATGTAAAGATTTATAGTGGACCCATCAAAGAAATACAGAATTTGGAAGAAGCCACATGAGGTGACTTGTTTTTGACTAATAACCATACCTCCTCAATCCATTTGTTCAAATATATCTTTTTAGACAAATGCCTGTTTATCATAATCTCTGCCCCCATGCATGTAGCAGCAGAATATTACTATAGTATGTGTGAGCCCCAAAACAGTCTATACTTGCTTTATAATACTAAAGATTGAATTCTCTAAGCATTCTCTAAGCAATCATCTTCCCAAATATACGGTTATTTTTAAAAAACATTGGCCTCAACACTTCTGTAACCAACCATAGCTACATGACAAACAATCTTTATGTTTGCAGAAAGACTCGAAACTGCCTCCATTCAAAATATTTATTCACACAAACTATTTCTGGAAGTACTATAATAGGGTAGTTTTGTTTGGGTGCACTCAAAACTTTCCTTGAAATGATGTTGTAATCACGAGATTCAATATAAACATCTTGAGCAACTTTTTTACTGATAGAATAGTGATGGCCTCTAATAATGGCTTCTGAGTCTCATCTGCCTAAAATTCCCTTGACATTTCATTTGGAGATAATGTTCATCTGTTCTTGTGCTCCAATCTGTTCCTTCTCACTACATGGTTATTATAGCTGCCAGCTAGCTCGTCTTTTTTTATCTAACTGATGGACCAACTTAATCCTATGAGGATATGACCTCAACCCAACTGCTCTGACCTTTTGCCATGACATTCAGGAGATCGTATAAACAGCTGCCCTCTCTTTACCTTGGCTGAAAATATCACTTCTGCTTATGAATACCGACTGGAGGGAAGAAATGTGCATGCTTTTTAAGTTGGTTGAAAAATAAAGCATGTTGTAATCCTACACAGAGATGTAGCTATAGGTTGTTTGTAGACTCATATCAGGGATGGGTTATACTTACCATTACTACTGATTTACATTGGGAGCGTGCACGTGGCGCTTCTGCACCTATGATGATGTCCGGGTTGGTGGGCGGAGCCTCCCGCTGGTTTTACTACCGGTTCTTGCAAACTGGTCTGAACCGGGGACAACTCACAACTGACTCATATATATACTCATTGTTGTGGCCCACTGGTGACCAGCAGAGCTGGCAGCAGTCAGACAGTGAGGAGGTTGGGGGGGAACATGGGCCAGTCCTGGGGGCTGGGGAAAGCTTGGACGAGGGCTCTGTGTCGGAGGCAGAGAGGGAGCTAGACAGCAGTGAGGCCAAGGAACAGCTGGAGCCTGTTCCCAGTGTGCACCATGCACACTGTTCCCATGCGCAGAGCTGCCAGAAGACAAAAACAACCCAGAAAGCAGGGTCGACTTGGGAGTAAAGCCACATCTTGGAGATAATTGGCCCCTCTCATAGGAAACAAAAGAGGAGCTAACAGGGAGCTCATTCTGTGACTCTGAGAGACTCTGTGCCAAGTTTTGCCTTGTACTGTGTTTGGAAACTAGTTATGTGGCAGCTTGCCAAGCGAGATAAGGTGTATTGATAAATATTCCTTTGAAAAACTGTTTGGACAGGCTTTGCTGACTGTGAATGAAAGGAATTCACAGTCGTGTAAATAAAAAAGGTTTTGCCGGGACCAAGACTCGGCTTTCTGCTTTTTAAGGGAGCCTACATCAGAACATTCATGTTTAATCTGCTTATTCAGTTCTAATTGTATTTTAGATATGATGCAAAATGAATTAATAAATTTACCAATACTTGGTATTTATAGCATGAAGAAAAATATGCACCTTAAACAAATATGCCAGCAGGATATATATTCTAACTATCCTTCGAGCTCCCTCTAAATTCTTGTAAAAAAATTTAAGCCCAGTTGTAACAGCCAACAGAGACTGTTCAATTAAAAAAAAAAAATCAGAATTGCAAGCAGTGTGGGCCAGGTCCATACAGCTTGCCACCCTTTCCTTAATATCTATCTGTTCTATCAGATCAGATAGTAAACGGTAAAGGTCCCCCTCGCACATATGTGCTAGTCGTTTCCGACTCTAGGGGGCGGTGCTCATCTTCGTTTCAAAGCCGAAGAGCCAGTGCTGTTCGAAGACGTCTCCGTGGTCATGTGACCAGCATGACTAAACGCCAAAGGTGCACGGAACGCTGTTACCTTCCCACCAAAGGTAGTCCCTATTTTTCTACTTGCATTTTTTTACGTGCTTTCAAACTACTAGGTTGGCAGAAGCTGGGACAAGTAACGGGAGCTCACGCCGTTACGCGGCACTAGGGATTCGAACTGCTGAACTGCCGACCTTTCGATCGACAAGATCAGCGTCTTAGCCATTGAGCCATTGCATCCGTATTGTCCCCTCTTTTAAATATTGCTATCTTATGAGAGTCAGGAAGCATGCCTTTCTGCTATGGAACACTCTGCCCTTTGAAGTTCAGTAGGTTCCAAACCTCCTAGCTTTCACAAAACACTAAAGACATGGCTTTCCCCCTAAGTCAGTGTTTCTCAACCTTGGAAGCTTGAAGATGGGTGGACTTCAACTCCCAGAATCCCCCAGCCCATCCCTCCCCCAGGGAGTTGAAGTCCACCCATCTTCAAGCTCCCAAGGTTGAGGAACTCTGCCCTAAGTGCTATGGTAGGATGAGGTGACTGCATATCAGAAGCTTGACTTGGCACCTGGTTTTTATAGTTTTTAACATGGCTTTTATGTTGTTTTTGATTTTTGATTGATCCATCCAGACTTTTTTTTTTTTAATAAGATGGGCAGCTATATAAATGCTATAAACAATCAAACAAACCAACAAATCTGCTTTAGTTATTTTTGCACAGGAGCAATTATGAAATAATGGAAATGCAATGTACCATGATGCCATTGTGGATGAAGCCCCGTCTGTACCGTGCAGGTTTCAGATGAGGATATTCTTCGGTGCTGGTCACTTTAATACCCCAGACTTTCTTCCAAGCTTCGTAAAGCTGAACATGAACTGGGTAGACACCAGAATGATGTGGAGCCACAGCATAGCCAATGTCAGTTGGAATACCATGTTCCTGAGAGTGGGCAAAAGAAGGGAAGGCACATGTACACATTAAAACAACACCAGAATTACAATATATTTGCAGATGTTTTGGAATACGATCAGATTAGGGGTGAAATCCAGCATGTTCTGACAGGTTCTGGAGCAGTGGTGGGTTCCTCCCGGTTCGGTCCGGTTCGGCCGAGCCGGTAGCGGTGACGATATGACGTCACCGAACCAGTTCTCCCCTCCCGCCCTCCCACCCCCACCCCCCCACGTTATTCTTACCTTTTATTTGGTCCCACCCCCACTCTATTGCTGCCTCCTGAGTCCCAGCTGATGACTAGAGGGAAAAAAAACTGTTTAAACTCTTGCCGCGGGGCTTCAAAGGGCCGTCCTACAGCTGATCAGTGTTAAAAGCAAACAAATGAGTCGGGTCGTAAGTGCGAGGACTGGTTGTAAGTGCGAGGATCTTCCAAAATGACTCTGACTACCTAGCCACGCCCACCTAGTCACATGACCTCCAAGCCACACCCACAAAATAAGCCACGCCCACAGGACCGGTAGTAAAAAAATTAGAATCCGCCCCTGTTCTGGAGAACCGGCCGCGGAAATTTTGAGTAGTTCGGAGAACCAGCAAATACCACCTCTGCAGGGGTGGGTTCTACTTACCTTTACTACCGGTGTGAATTAAGATTTTTACTCAATTGACTTTCTTTTGAACACTCTTAATTAATTAGGGAAACTATAACAAAAACCTGAAATAATTGTATCATTTGGAATATTAGATAAAGAAATTGGAGATGATATTATGTTGTGTGAATGCAAATTTAGGGGTTCAAATTTTAGGGAAGAAAAAGAAAAATTGAATTATATTAGGAGTAGAAGTTAAGAAGAAGGGCAAAATTGTATGGAAGTTTAAAAATTGTAATAAGATTTAGAAATATGAATAGGTTTAACATATAAGACTATAATAGTTGTCATATTGGGGGTAAGAGTTAGATTTAATTGGTTTTTATTAATATGTTGAATGATGTAGAAATGTGAAATAAAGATTATTTGGTATATTTGATAAATAATTGGAGATGATATTATGTTGTGTCAATGCAAATTAAGGGGATCAAATTTTAGGGAGGAAAAAGAAAAAAATTGAATTAAGTTAAGAGGAAAGGTAACATTAGATTTTTTTAAAATCAGAGAGAAATAAATGTTATGCCAAAAATTGAAGGTACACAATTGTTTTAAAGATGAACAAAAATCTGTACAAATTTATGACCGGGTCAATGTTCTGTCTAGAAAAGATGTATTGTATGTTTGTCTGTCTGTTTAAAAATAATAAAAAAAAAACTTTACTACAAAAACTACTGGTTTGCATCGTGCCTGCGCTCGCGCACTTGCTTAGCTCTCTCTCCCGCTCTTCTGTGCATGTGCAGAAGCTTCTGCGCATGCACAGATTACTTATGATGACGTCTGACAGAGCCTCCCACCTGTTTTACTACCGGTTCTTGTGAACCGGTCCGAACCGGGGGCAACCTACCACTGCACCTCTGGATGGCCCAAGAGTGGGGTGGGAATGGAGATTTTGCAGTATCCTTCCCCTGCCACCCCCACCAAGCCACACCACCCCCACCAAGCCACACCACGCCCACCAAGCCACGCCCACAGAACCGGTAGTAAAAAAATTTGAATCCCACCAGCGGATCAGATATAAAAATAACAATTACAGTAATTGAAACCCTCAAACAAGCATGCAGTATATGGGAAAAGTAACTTATTTCTAGATATATCTTTGGAGAGAACTTTATAAAAATCATGATGGGTCACAAGAAAGATGATATATAGTGCAGCATTTTATTTCTGCAGCGGAAAGCCGCTAAATGAATTTGGAAACTAATAATCTCCAGGAAATGGTAGTGAGAAGCATCTTGCTTCTGACACTGGATGTAATTGATGCCATCATGGCCAGCAGTTCTCCCTCTTTAGTAATAAAAACTAGGTAACAAACATGTTAGCTTTCCTAAGACAGACAGACAGACAGACAGTATTCAGATTCAGGTTTTATATTACATTAAATGCATCTGGGTCCCAATTTGTTCAGTTTCCCCACACCTCAGCTAGTTTTGGGTATTAAACAATTATTAGTTTATTAGCAACTACCTCTATCAGCAATGGTCATATTCAGGCGTGGGTTCTACTTACCTTTACTACCGCTTTGCAATGGGGCTGCGCGCAAGCGCAGAAGCGTTTTGATGATGTCAGGGTCAGTGGGCGGAGCCTCCCACCGGTTTTACTACCGGTTCTATAGAACCGGTGCGAACTGGGGCAACCCACCACTGGTCATATTTATGATAAAAAAAATTAGTCCTTGTCATTTGATAATAAGAATGACTTGTTACAGTGCTCCTTCTCTATTTAAAAAGTGATGAAACAAAAGACAGAAGAAAGATATCCAGCAATAAAAATGCTAATTATAAGAACCTTTGGAAAGACAATTAGATGCAGGATTCTTTGATGATACATGGGAAATTCTCAAGAAGACAACATTAAGTTTCTGTAGGAAAACACTGCCTGTTCTAGTCAGAATAAACAAAACAGCCCCATTTATATATTAGATTGACAAATCAGCACGATAAAATCAAATAAGGTAGACAAAAGGTAACATGTAATTGAACTTTTTAAATATCCTCTTTATAGTTTTTTGAAATGACGTTCAATATATAACAAACCAGCCTATTTTTAAAAACGGGAAGGTTTGACAGTCTATATTGAAAATGTAAAATAAACAGAGAATAGTTGATATTTGATCGCTCTAATTTCCCAAAGCAATATCAGAGTTAAGCATTAATAAAATCTCTTATACTCTACTGTCATAAGCCTAAATTACTAAAAACTGAAATAGTGTCATTGCAAAATAAAGACTTAATACTGGTGGCTTTAGATAGTGATATAAATATGTCTGGTTTTTGCTCAACATTAATAGCATGGGATTTTTTGGGGGGGGGGCACTTTTCTCAGTATCCCTTGGGCTTCAGCATTTTAGTATGAATGTTTAAATTAGTAACTTTAATTTTGAAACACTTTCAGAATGACTTGAATGAGTTTTGAATGTGAAACTACTTTAAGCTTGAAACGGTTGGAATATCTCACCCTGTAAAATGAAAGGGACTGATAAACGTGTACAAAAACCACATTTGGCTTTTATTTAACATCAGCCTAATTCAAAAAGAACAGTAGCTTTTGGTTTTAATGAATGTAAACCAAAGTTTATGTACAAAAGTATGGCGCAGGGAGAACAAACAGAAAGAATTATAAATCTTAAAACGGAAAGATGGTGAACACAATTTACTGGACATTACTGAAGTTTGTTGGGATAAAGCACATTAATGGAATGAAAGAATAAATAAGAGTACCGTATTTTTCAGAGTATATGACGCACCGGAGTATAAGACGCACGTTAGTTTTTGGGGAGGAAAATAAGAAAAAAGCTGATTGGCAGGTGGATTGGCCTCCCGGAATACCCCCAATCAGCTACCAGAAGTGAATTTTAGCAACAGGTTCCTTGGTTGTGAGGTCTGTGCTTTGCTTTTTTTTTTTCTGCCTCTGAAATTTCTGAAACTCTGTTTCAGAAAAAACTTTCTTTTCTGCCTCTGAAAGCCTCCGAAACAGAGCTTCAGAAAAAAAGCCTCTGAAGCTCTGTTTGGGGGCTTCTTTTCTGAAACTTCTTTTCTGCTTTTTTCAGCCTCTGAAATCTCTGTTTGAGAAGTTGGGCGGGACTACATTCGGAGTATAAACGCACTCAGATTTTCACCCTCTTTTTTGGGGGGAAAAAGGTGTGTCTTATACTCCGAAAAATATGGTAACTTATTGAAAACAAATAGGACAGTCAAAACGGGAGAATGAATGTCTTTGTGAAAGAAGTGTGCACGTCTGAAGAAATCCAGGACTATGACCACGAACATCCAATCAAAAGCATTTGGGTAAAACTGATAGGAAGGGGAAACAACAATTATATTCCACTGGGATATGCTATGGAAAATAAGCAGAATAACAGAGCTGGAAAACTTTTGGAAGACCTTTGAAGACTTCTAGTTCAACACCTTGCGCAAGAAGTAAACCCTACCATTTCAGACAAACAGTCATCCAAACTCTTCTTAAAAACTTCCAGTGTTGGAGTACCCACAACTTTTGGAAGCAAGTTGTTCCATTGATTAATTGTTCTAATAGTCAGGACATTTTTCCTTAGTTCTAGGTTGGTTCTCTCCTTGATTAGTTTCCATCCGTTGCTTCTTGTCCTGCCTTAGGGTGCTTTGGAGAATAGGTTGGCCCCTTCTTCTTTGTGGCAGCCCCTGAGATATTGGAACACTGTTATCATGTCACCTCTGATCCTTCTTTTCACTAGACTAGACATACCCAATTCCTGCAACAATTCTTCATATGTTTTAGCCTTCAATCCACTAAGGGGCCATGGATTCAATCTGGATAAGTCTTTTCTGGAGCAGATTAGAGAACTTTGAGGAAGGACATTTAGTAATAATGGGACATATTAAATACCTAAACAACCATCAGAAAATCAGTTCAGATACAATTGCAAAGTGCCCCAAAGACTTGGTCTTGTTGATGGTTTCGTTTTAAAAAGACTGAAGAAAATACATTCCTAAATCTTATTCTAATCAACTGGAAAAAGTTAATTGTAGTGGGAAAAGCAGTGGGAAGCTTGGGAAGCAGTGACCCTGAAGAAATGGAACTGGAGCATTTTTGTACAGGCACAACCAAAAATTAGAAAACAAACTTAGAGTAGTATTAAATGTTGGACAGAAATTCTTAAAGTCAAAAGTAATATAGGAAGTATACTAAAGATAGTAAATGTACAAGTGCACACTGTTCCAGTGAATCTACAGCTCATTTCAACTGAGCCAAGAATTGAAAGGAATATATCTGTGAAATAGAAGATAGTGAAATTGCCAAGAAAGCGTATCAACTAAGAACAGAATAGGTGAGAAAGGCTAAAGTTAAACGAGATACAGCCTTGAAAAG